CTCTCACTGGCGTTCCTAGGACTCACACCGCGTGAGTCATTTGAGTACTTGGGTAACTCCCTTCCTATCACACGCTGCAGGCGGTATTGTGGAAGGTGGCATGGGGTTATTTTACCAGAAAAAATCTTGAGGAAATTTTAAACTTTAAGGAGTCAATTTCTGTTCCTTGCTAAATTTTCTCAGCCTGGTCTAGAAAGCAAGAGGTGCGTGTCGCAACTACGTGCATCACTAAACATTCTGCTTTCAAGAGAAGGAACAAAGACATCCTATAATTTAAAATGTCACCGAGGGCACAGCCCTGTCTCAGCCCCAGGAGCCGATGGCAATGACATTTTACTTCAGCAGAAAATACTTCAGTCCTCAAACTGCCACCCTTAAAGGCAGAAATTGCTTTAGGTCCTTCGACTGGTCGGTACCCGAAAAGCTCTTCAAGGGTCAAAAGATATGATCTGGAAAGTTAGTGGTGGAGGCGAGCCTGGGGTTGTTCAGAGATTTTTGTTTATAGCCCGCACGAAATAGGAGTGTTGGCCTCTGGTCATAATTACTGCCTGTGTTTAGTCTGTTCCTTGCTAATCGCCAAAACTTAATAATTTAAAATTATAGTATTTCAAAAAACAGGAATAAAGAACATGGAATAAAGACAGTTCTTCAATACCTTGTTGCACAGACCCTAGTACCATCCTGATTAACACCTACAAGAATAATTATGAGCACTTGCATTCAAACCTTAATGTATGACCCGCCTGAAGTTAAAAAGTAAAGTTGTTGTCTCATTCAAAAAAAGACCATAATTTTGGTTGTAAACTAGGAATTACTTTCTTCTCTTCGGGATATAGCAGCTTTTTTGTCACTTGCAATTGAAAATAATTCATTTCTCCAGGCTTGAGCTAGGCAAGAGAAATTTCAGCCCCAAAGTAATTTTATACGCAACTGTAAATAGCGGGTTATAATGAATGTGTCATTCCAACCGTAACTACAAAACCACTACAGCAATGATATCATTTAAAAATATATGCAATGATCTAGCCTGGTTTGCATTGTTTTTTCTCACAAATTATTGATGTTCTGACAGCCCGTGAGTAGCAAATTGAATCAGAGCCAGGAGTGCATACGAAAAGGTCATCAATAACAAATGAAAATAAATCCTCCCCTGGAATGTTTTGTTTATGCAATGCAGAAGTTGAGGTTCGGCTTCTGAAAATGGATCTACCCTCAAATTCAGGGAGAGGCAGGATCTTTGCTGCACCAGACACGCACATTATACCTATAGAAGACAGTCATAAAAGCTTCAACATCAGCTTCAAACCTCAGCTGCAGCAATGGAAACTGATGCTTCAGAAGTTCGTGTTGAGATTTACAGTGTGATTCAAATTTAGTCCATTACCCATTTTATAGCTGGAGCAGGGACTGGGAAGACAAGGAGCTTGGAATTGAAAAATTGATCTCAGCTGGCAGTGTTTCTGTTGTTGTTCAATTATTTTACAACATGAAATGCATCCAGCTTGCATACCATAATGGTATCTATTTTTTTCCTAAGGATGGATATAAAACCAGAGTTCAGCTCTGCCCTTAAAATATGTATTATGGTCATGCAATCTTGAATAATGATAGCAGAACTTAAGCTGTACTTTCAAAACAAATAAACTCTGTGGAGAGGAAACTCTTTCTCATAGTCCATTTCTACAGTTTCCAGCACACCACCGCCTGGGCAGAGACTCCAGCCGTTACCCAGCACACCCACATAGCTCCTAACAATATACACATGCTACACAGAATAATTTTTCAAATACTCCAGAGTGAGATTACTCTTCATTGCCTTCATTTTACAGTTACATTACCCCAGAGAAAACAGTTAAGGTTATAACAACTCAGCCTAGTTTATTTTTTTAACAACAACTGAAGATGTCTCCATCTGAAGACCTCAGAAATAAACTGTTCTCCTGGGCAAAACGAGTTTCTGCTTGTAAAAAAACCACGGGTAACCACCCGGTCCTGGTCTGATCAGATGCCTTTTCTCATGGAGCAGGGACAGTTTCGGAGACAGGACACAGAAGCAATGGCCCCATAAGATGTAAACACCTCCCGCACGAACCCTGAGCCTCCCGCGCTGCTGTTTGCAAAGCACTTGAAGATACTCAACAATAAATGCGAACATCACTTCACCTTAATTATCCCTCTGATGCATGAGTTAATACTTTATTTTTGCCCTTTACTCTTAACCTGGCAAAAAACCGTGCACTTTGCCTTTTGGGCTGTATTAAAGGAAATTCAACTGGTATAGAGGTCCTGTGCAAAAAAAAAAAAAAAGAATACAAAACGATTCTTTCTCCCGAAAATCTCCCCCAGTGTTTACAGATGAAAAATTATTTCATTTTGGCCTCTTTATTTCCTGCCAGCCATCCCGAAAAGCTGAACCACCAGTACCTGCCTCTCCTATCATCTGGCTTCACGGTCCTCTCCCCCGCGGTAAGATCCCGCCTCACGCCACCGTGCAAGAGATGGGGCAGAGCCGCAGCTAACGAGCAACCCCGGCCCGGAGGAAGCACAGAAACCAGGAGTATCTCCGGGGAACACACGGAGGCTCTTTAGTGGCTCCAACTCATTCACCGTTAGTTTGAGTTTGATTATGCTTTGCTTAATGCCTCCCCCGAGCCTTCCCAAATGTACGCTGACACATCCCTATTACTTACATAGGACTTAAACTAGCCAGCTTGTTTTCTTGCAGCCTCTTTTTACACCACTCCCCCACCCAGCACACTAATTGGCTGGGCCCTTGGTCAAGACTATGCTTCGTTTTTAATGGTTTAAATATGCACTATTTACCTACCAGGCTCGGACTAGATGTCCACCCTCACCTCTTCTCCTGTGGCAGTCATAACCTCGTCTTACCAGTCCATAGGCTAATAGTTCTGGCATGTTACAAATTTTTGTTATACCTTGAAGCCTTAAAAAATTCCTGGAAGAAGCAGGTCCTGCAGTTCGGGTGTATGCCGTACAAAGTGATATTTTCCCTTATTTTAAGATTCAGCTGGGATTCATCTTCTCTAAGCTTAAGCTCTGAACTGACCCGCCTGGAGCAGGAGTGCACTGAAGGAGGGAGCTGATGGGTGGCCCCACCGACCACCCTCCGCGGCACCGCATCAGCAGACGCTGCCAGGGCAGCGGAAGGTGTAGTTACAGTGAGGGTGTGAATCTCAATTACTGCAGGAGCCATACGTTCCCCTTATGCACAACTGGGTAAGTTACTGCACCTGAATCTTTACTCACATTTTTCTCCCCTGTTTTTTTACTGGCGTCAAATTGTCACAGGGTTTGTACGGCTGATATTTCATTCTTCCCTAGACGGCAGAGACAGAAAATACCTACTAAGCCACCTAGGTCAGTACCAGGTTGTTCTGTATAACATGCTTTATCGTGCTTTGTTCAGCCAAGTTTTAATTAACTTAAGAAATATGACTTTCCTCCACTGAAGGCTTACAGGAGATTATTCCATCACCTGCAAGTTTTTGCTCTGGGGAAGGACACATGCATTATACAATGAGACTTGGCCTTTACCCTTATTGCAGTCCTTTTGTTCAGTAGTTCATCGGTGATTTTAAACAAAGAACCAGCTGCCAATAAAAGCCTAAATCTAAACTCTTTGTATCACAGTATGCATCTCTCCAGGCAAGTCAGAAACAAAGTAATTCCCACCAATAACCTCTGTTTTGAAGAAGTTCACGTTTTTTCCTGTTGTGCTAAATTTAAGATCTACTGTTCAATTTTTATTGCGCTATATTTTTCGAACTTTCAGTGCAGAAACGGTTGGTTCAGGGTAACTTGGGTGAGATTCACCTGCCCGTAGTATACCCCTTTAGAAGTTAAACAGCATATCCAAATCCACCAGCTTCACATTTTTTTAATCAATGGACAGCAATAAGCATCTTCAGATGGCAAGTCTTCTGATGTCTTAGGATAAGACGAATGATTCTTTGAATGCTCCTGTTCTTCCCCAGGGGCCACAGAGGAGGTCAGGGTTGATTAATTCAAACTTGGATATTTAAGTTTTAGACACCTAATTCTGGATAGATGAATCTCTCTATTTGTTTCTCTTTCTTGTAATTCCCTTTTCCCTGTTAGGAACTCAAGAGAGATTTAGCCTTGATTCACCAAACACTACTCAGAAGAATTTCCATTGCCTTCACACGATAGCCTGATTTTCAGGTGTTAAGACTTACAATAGAAGCAGATTTCCAAATCAGTTCATCATTCAACTACCCCAGCACTCCTAAAAGTATGGGCCCTTACTTTTCTGCCTAAATGAGAGCTTTCTTATTTAAAAAATCTACCCTCAAATACCCACTTTCAGAGAAAGCACTTCCCCCAGTGACTGTAAAACCCTACAAGCTGCCATCCGCCTGTGCTCAACCAGCCCGAAGCTGATTTCAGCGAACATGGGAGCTGTTCGGTTCCCAGACCACCCCTTCTTTCCTCGTGCCACACTTCTTTAAGCATCAGTGCAAATCAATGTCATAGTGTCTTGCCCTTAGTGCAAACATTTATCAGTCCTGTGGGCAAGCTACCATTAAACTTTCTCATGTCTGGTCTTTCACAATGGTATAATAATACAACGAAGTAATAATAAAATAATGAATAGTTTCCTAATTTTCAATTAATTAAATGCGTCAAGCCCAGCTCTGTTTCAAACCCACCTCTAATTTCTCATAAAAACTGAAAAAAGTTTTGTGCCTTACACTGCTGCCCTTTTATAGCCTTTAAGAATGCTAAAGATATTTTCCCCATAATTCTCTATAGACTTTTTTTTTCCAAGTATATGAGAATTATCTGGAGAAACAGTTGTTGACGCTTCTTCCTCAAAGACTTTTGAAGACGGACTGTCTGGAGAGGATAACATCCTCACAAAGGTTAGCAAGTGAGCAGGACCGTCTGTGTTTCTCAGCCGCAGGTGCAGGGCTGCAGAGTCAGAAAGATGGACAGCATCACCAGGCACAGACAAATACGGTTTTTTTGCCTTTAAATCAATGGAATTGATTCTTTCCTGTGTCTGAATTATACTCGGCAATATAAACAACAGAGAGCTGTGCATGGCAGGCTTATTTTTCAAGGCTCGCCATGTCAGGGGTACTTATTCTCCATGGTTTACTCTGCAGCCTGGGGGACAGGGGACATTCTCCAATCCCCCAATGGCCAGCTTCCCCTAGCCCATGCCTCCAAAAACTACAAGAGATCCAGACCCAAAAAGCAGTTCGGTCCCAGAACCCACGTCTCCACAGTATGAATGTTATTGCCCATATCTATCTTGAAGCTGAGCATCACTGCCTTTCCCTTCCATCCCACGATTTGAGAACATACTTCCTCTGCTGTGCCGAGGAGCGCCTGGTGCAGATGACGGCCACCACCACCACCACCACCACGGTGATGACGCCGATGGTGACGACGATGATGACGAGGAGGTTGCTGTTCTTCTGGGGCGTGACGCTGCCGTGGGGAGGGTGCATCTGCCCGATGGGAGGCTCTGAAAGAAGACAGACAACGAGGGGATGGTTAGCGCCGGATTTGCTCCCCTCCCTCTTTAGGAGTCACCCATAAAATAAAACACATAAAGCCTGTCAGGTGGCATGAATTCCTCTGAAAAAGCAGACGGAGGGTATGGAAGGGTGTCATAAAGAGCTGAAATTATGTCTTGCTGCATTTCAGTGGTATAGCAAACAGGAAAATACTTAACCTGTAATGACTTTGCATTTTCTGGGTGTTAATAACCTGATGTTGGGAGTCAGTAACTCTCAGCTCATTTTTGCTATTATCAGCTGAAAATGGAAATACAGGGACTATGGATTTTTTCTTTATGGCCCGTATAGTCTTTCTTGGTATTTACAGGCAAATACAAATCTTGTGCATCAGCCAACCTGAATGCCCGATTCATTTGTCAGCACTGCATTCACCCCCCAGTCAGTCTCACATCACATTATATTTTGTTTATTGCTATGCTGACCAGATCCCTACGCAACGCTTGAGCAGGTTAAGGGCTCAATCGTTTGAAGCGATCAGCTTCCTTAGTTTCAATGCAGCAGCAAGACTGGGACTGAAAATAGCATCATTTCTGGTGTCAAGTCCCAGTCAAACTGACTTCAGTTGGTCACTTGCTTTCAACAATATTTTCCCTATTGCACTGGGAATAGCACAGTTTATATTTTTATAATCTTGTTGGATAACGCCTCCAGTTACACAGCGTTGGGCCATATGTTGCAGACACCTGCACAAAACAGCGAGTAATCCTTTTGCTCTGGCTGCTAAGGCAATCTTATAGGCATCCTATAGGATTACAAACTCACGAACCCCAAAATATCTTTCCACTTAAGCTTGGAGAAAAACTAAACATTCGGTGCAATGGGATGCAAAGGGAAGAGCTCCATGTCCAAGATTTCAAAAGAAAAGTAACTCAAGAGTTTTCATATGGCATCATCCCCACAACGTCCCACGTAAAAACTAAACAAGACTTGTCTGGGATCTCATTTTGCCTTTACTACAACTGAATGTGAAAGGAAAAAAAGGACAAATCTTTCCAAATACAGTTTCAGTTAGCTATAGATGTAATTTAACTGTAATATTCTGCCTTGATTTTCTGACCTAATATCCTTTCTTTACTTAACTAATTATACTATTTAAATAATTTGCCCTTTCCTCATAGCTTTTTCAGGCAACTGAATAAGACGAGCAGCTGCGAGTGCCATCTTTTCAGCATTACAACGGTCTAGTACAGAAATCCCAAAGATTTGGGGATTTGGTTTCTTTTTCATTTCCATGCTGAGTAAAAGGCACTGAAGGAATATACCACATAAAATACAGTGACTATCAAGAAAAACAAAATTTTTTTTCTCCCCACCCTTTACTGCAGGCGCGGGAAGCTCTCTTTATTTCTCAAAAATCAGTTTTCCTATATTTATGATGAATTACTATAAAGAAGAGGAGAAAAGCCTAAAACAGTGGTGTACTGGCTGCAGCAAAGTAGGACAGAAAAAGGTAACAAAATTTTGCATTCCCTCCTCGTCTTGACTTAGGAAAATAACCAGCGTGAGTTAATCAGCTATGTGCCTTGTAATTATTTTGTACTTTCAAACCCCACTTGATACCACATTTGAGGGAATCTTGTCTGTTGTTTCATTCAATAATGTGAGATGACAATGCTTCATTAGGTAACGGAGATGGGGTCAGGAATAAGAAGTTATTGATAGCGTATCTGCACCCCAGCTGGTGCTGGTTAGGTTCAGTTAATTTTTGTTAATCCACAGGGTTTCCTCTCATGTCTTCCTATTTTAGGGCAGGATTAATTAATAAAAAAAGGATATTTTCTGCAGAAAGCTTAAATTGTAATGCATAAAATGTATTTTACAACTCTTTTTAAGCTGTTATTTTTTTAGAGGCATTCCCATTGCTTGAGATGTATCTAAAACTTCTCTTGCGATGGGATTATTATACCCAGCAACATACTTTTGGGAGTACTGCATCAGCTGGAAATCTGATGGGTAGTTTGGGGATCGGCTTTAAGAAAGCCAAACCAGAATATACGGTGTCCTGACCCTATTTTTGGTTAACATTTCTGGTTAAAACTACTGTCTGGTTTCCAGCAGGTATTTTGCACATGGATGGGATTTTCAACAGCCGAGAGAACTTTTCCCTAAAAAAAAAACAGCAGGCGTGCGACCTGTGGGCATGCTGGGTGGCCTCCAAACCATGAGAGAGAGGAACGAGAGAGCAATAAAGAGAAGAAAAGAAGGAGGTTATCACCAAAACTGCACTTAATTATGCAGCATGGTTGGACGGAGCCTGTATTTACCGTTCAGACTGCTCCTGTCAATCAGGTTGGTGTCCACCGGCCAGTAGGAGCCATCCCCGTGACGACCTGTTGGCAGAAAAAATGCATCAGACGCGGCATGGCAGATAAACCAGCGAAGTCAAGTTTGTTGCTTGAGACCGCGCCTGTCTGATAATGTTTAAACCATTAAACAGTGTGGGAAAAGTCACCCCATATGTGCTGGGGAAAATCTCTCATCAAAGCAGGCTTTGGAAAGCGAGCTGAATTTCAGCCCTGTGAGCAGCTTGCCTTGTTCTGTTGGTTTTTTCCCTCCTCCAGATGTGCTCGTTAGAGTGACAAACTAAGGTGTGATGGCAGCATCCATCTGTGCCCCCTCAGGTGACGGGAGTAATTCAGCCAGCTGCTTTTGCACAGAAGCGGCTGGAACCGCGGCAGAGGGACGGTGCTGTGCAGAAAATCGTGGGCACGTTCTCCACCGGCCAGGTGGCCTTCCACTACTATTAAGCAAGCTTTCTTTAATTTATTTTCCTGCTTGTTGAAACACAGTTGTGGAACTACAACTCCACAACAGCTTGGTTTTTACAAAAAGATTGGCTCTTTTCTAACCCTGATATAAAAAAAAAAAAGAAAGAAAAAAGAAGGGATATGATTATTATTGCAAAGATGTTTTGGCTGTTGAGGCAACTTTTGCACTCCAAATTAATATAGTAAAATTTGAGATGTTCATCTTTTCCTCTGCTTTATTTTCTCCTATTTTTCAGCTTTGGGCTGAATAGCTATGATGGTAAGTCCGTGTTTCTGCCAAGAGCAGCATCTCTGCTTCCTCACGTCCGACAGAAGGAGAATTGCAAAGGTTGGTAAAGTCCTACCAAGCATCTCTTTGTCTCTACCGAGACAAACAGGAGCTTGGTAGGACTTTACCAACTTTTGGTATGGGACTGAGCAGTCAAAGTCCATGACAGAAGCGGTTTGGGGTAAAAGCTGCTCTTCTGGCAAAGACCAAACTTATGCCAAAAACACGCTCTTGGTATGGGCATACTGCACTATAACAAAGCCCAAAACGTGGCCATTTCATTCCTCTAAAGCTAATTATTTTTTCATTTAAGGTGGCCCAGTCTCAGCTGACGCAGCAGTGCTCTGCTAGGACAGGGGAAAGGCATCTTCCCCCAGGATGGGCAGAGGCTGCCGGAGCAGCACATCAACACCGACTGCCTAAGACCCCCGGGCACTATCTTTTTTGGCTCTGCCATCCCTTACGTCAGACAAATAGTACCTGAGAGCGGGTTTTGGTTGGTGAAGGGATCATGTAAAAATTCTGAAAACTTAGTGCAGGGCAAGCAATTACCAGGGATTATTGCAGATAACTTCTACATCAAACAACCACCATCTACATCAGATCTTTTGGCAGATTAGCAAAAAACCCCACGTTTGCTCACTTTCCTGCAGTTGTTTGTTGCTGCTGTGCACTGTTAAACAACTGCCATATTCCTCTCTAGAGGCACTCGTGTTTCTGTGGATTGCGAAGAAAGTCACGTGCATAACTTTGTCTACCAATTTGGTAAGTATTTTGTGATGAATGGCCCTACATAAATGGAAGATGATTATCATCAGAAGAGACTTCAATGTAATCATCTTTTCAATCAGTGTAATTGCACAGCTACAACAACTTCATCTTAAGAAAGCAAGGTTGCAAAATATTTGCTGTAAAAGCAGACAAAATAGAGATAAATGTAAGGTATATAGTAATTCTGTTTACCAAGGTGACACTCTAGAGCAGTCCTATTCACAGTACTGCACTGCAGCGTGTGAACACATTGTGACCCTGGGGTTATACTGTGCTTAGGAAACTGGGTATCTCCATGGGAGATTGCTAAATGTTACTATTTCTTACATTTAGTCCACACTGAACCAGCTTAGCAGAGCCTAACACATTGGAAAATTTAGTCGCGATATTGGAGACTTAAAAAAACTAACCCTGCATGCCCGACTCTGAAGTTTAGTACTTCCTTAATTAACATAAGAGCACTTTTCAAGGCATTATACATGACATTTTCATTGTAAAAGTATTTGTGTAAACAGCTGCCCGTTTCATTTCTCTAATACCTGGAGATGCCATTTATTTGGGACAGCTGCAACTTGGAGGCAGCCAGGCAGCACCCGGGGAAAGGTTCGGGCTGCACTGTCCGTCTCGGAGGGGTCTTGGGCTAGAAATATTTCTGGAACGATTTATGTTTTAAAACCATCCCAAGGCAGCAAAGTCTTCCAGTTTTACTCACTGAGGGTAACCCTTTCAAAAGACCCAACTTCTGATCAGAGGCAATTTCACTGATAAGAGACAGGAAAGCAGATAACGCTTAACAAACAGTGTTTCAACAACGCTCTTTGTCAGGGATAGCCAAGATCGAATTTATGGTAAGTCGGCTCTGTTCTGCTATTAAGACATACAAACACTATTCAATATTTGGATAAACACGGAAATCTAAGCACTTAGGAGATGGGAGGTAAATCTCTGATGCACTATAAGGTTTTATATGTTAAAGGGCAGATAGGGCTTAAACCCCTAAGGATTATCCATGCTCTGTTCCAAGCCAACCCACCTCCATGAATCACTTCTATCTCTAGCTTTCACTCGGCAAGTTTAGGTTGTATTTTCCTTTAAAAAACCCAAATGATGTGCAAGAGCATTGCTACTCCAAGCCTATTGCTTCATTCAGTTTCACGGCCTCAGGTTTCGCATACCTTTATAATAATCTAATTCAAAAAGTAAGCTAACCTGCGTGCTTCCACTTCACCTTCAGTATCTTCACTGCACTCGCCTGTTCGCACTGTCCTCACTATCGCTGTCGCTCTCCACCTCCTTCCCAAATCCACCAGCGGGTTTCTGGGCTTACAGAAGACAAGTACAGAACTCCTGTCCCACCGAGTTTAGACGGAAACCCTCGGCGTCAGCCAGAAAGTCACGGGCAAGGTGGGCATAACTCAACAGATACGTCCAGATCTCGTTTGGGCTTTTTTGGGGTCAGACAATGGACTCTTCAACTTCCACCAGTTTCCAGTGGAGCTTTTTTTCTTCGTATTATTCCATCTTTTGGAACAAACCACTATAAAATCCTGACTGATCAGCTGTTTCTTTGAGAACTGCCTTTTTTAATGGAGGTTAAACAGTCTTTAAACTTGATTTTCCTACTTTTTTAATGAGTTGTACTAAAGGTGGTAACATACTTTGCGAGGTACCAAAACCTGCATCCATATGAACCTACATATCATTTCTCATCTCTCACTTCTCTGTTTAACTTCTGTTTTCCCCCAGGTCTGTCTTTCAAATGTTTCAGTAACTTGAGTCTTTCTCTGAAAAAGCATATCCTTTTCCCACAACTGTATCTCAGCTGCCACTATATGAAATAAACATTTCAACTTGGTCTTGTCAAGGCAAAAAAAATCAAGTTGTCGGTGACAACAACAATTCTTCATCCTCTCAGGTCTCCAGCACTTGGAAATTGGCCAAAAATTCTGTTGTCATTTTGCTGTAAATCTCCTTCCTTTTTCATGCTTCACTCGAGCAGCTTCCTTATTTGCAAACTTCAGGTATCCCCGCACGGCACGGGCAGATCGGTAGACGTTGAGGGAATGCTCTCTCCTTGCAAAGCGCTCACTGCAAGCCAACTACCTGAGCTGGAGAGCTGGAGGGGGAATGACACTTGCTGTTATATCATCTGGCTCCTCTGAACCAGACACGGCCCTGCGCTACCACTGTTGCTGTATTTTGCCTTAAACAGTCCAAAATACGGAGAAAATAAGCTGAGCAATATTCTCACATGAGACAGCAGAGACTGTAAGAGATATTTCCTACCCCATGGGTGTCCTCAGGGAAGCTCAAGCATGCAAACTAAGTCACTGGGAGGTTCAAGCATGCAAACTAAGTCATTGGCTCTCACAGCCAACACAAGCTGTCAGGTGCCATCAGAAAAGCTGCTCCTCTGTTTCCATGGAAAAGCTGAGCTCCCTAAGTTAGTTATGGTGCTGAGCACTTGGAAACCTGCTCCAGGACGAAGCAGAAGATAGCAGAAGATAGCAAGTTGTCTTCGGGGGGCAGCTCTAGCTTGCTGCTGACCTGCAGCCCTCCTAGAAACCTGGTAGAGTAATGAAGCTCAGACACAGCAGAGTAAAAGCAGAGTAAGGAGGACGGCTGAAAAGAAAGGGGCAATGGGAGCTTCTGCCCAGAGCAGACACAGAGACATCTGAGAAAAACAAAACATCCCCCTAGCACCTTGTTCCAATTCGGTATCATCTTCTCGGAAGGTAGAAATACAATTCAGAAGAGAGAAAGGTTTAATAATATATGTTTTGCAGTTCAGTATCGCTCCAGAGGCTGCTCTTCATCCTGGAGGATGGACACCAGTTCGGCCTGAGATGGGCAATGCTGCGCAGCCACATCCCGTACTCGCACACCCAGCCGGGAGGAGGAGCGGTGGGTCACACGCTGACTTCAGAGAGCACTGAGGTGAGGATCCATCTCCATGTGCATGGCTATTCACAAGGTCCCTCTTTGGTCAGTGATGACAGAAGGAAAACACACAACCACGATTGAACCTGCTTCTCTGGGATGGGAAAAGCTGGTTTTTGAAGGTACCCACCTCTCCCCATTGACCACACTATATGGCAGACTTTGGGATGTACAATATTAGCTTTCATCGCTGAGGTTCTGCATCCATCAGCATTTAAACAAGTCGGAGCATGAGGACTTGTGTCTTCTTCCCATTATGGTCAGCACCTGGTAACGAAGGAGACACCCACGTTGTCCTGATGACAGCTGAAGAGCTCAGCGAAGGCAGGGGTGTTTGCAAGTTTGCTTATTGGCAAGCATAAGCTGGCAGACTTCTCGGAAAGATGCTGGGGCTCGGGGCAGAAATGCAAGATTAGGCGAACATATACCACAAAACCTGTTGATTTTCTAGTCCTTCTGTTTCAACTGCATCCAGAGATAGTTGTCTCAACTATGTCTCAACGTAGCAGGAAACACAACCAATATGCAGGAATAACCCTTCTTTAAATTTCAAGCATGCCTTGCCTTCTGAGATGCTTTCCAT